ATTTCTTAATTAAAAGAGATAATAGCGTATTTAATTATATTAGCGTTATATTTATAAATAGTTTTAAAAGCGCTAGAGAAATTAAGAGTAAGTTAATTTTAAAGTATATAATAAAGATAATTCTCTAAGATATTAGCTTTAAAAGTCTATTTTTAATAATATTTTAGAAAGAGAAAGAAGAAGAGCGTAGAATTAAGAAAGGCTATTTAAGAGATAGAAGTATAAGATAAAGTAGAAAAACTAATTCCGCGAGTATTAGTTAGTATTAAGACTTCGCGAGCTATAATAATATAATTAATATTATAAACTAATTAAATTAAAGAAGTAATAAATAAAAGTTATTAATAGATATCTATAAGCTCTTCGCGAGAAGCCTCGAGCTTTTTATCGAAATAAGATATTATTAAAATATACTATATCTAGTTAAGGCGTATATTAAAATATTATAAAAGAATAATTTTAAGAAGAGTACTTATAAGAGCTTAAGGGGATTTTAAATATAAGAGATATAAAAGAATATATAAATAAGTCTTTTCGATATAGTAGATCTAGTTAGAATATAATATACTAAGAAAAGATTTATTAAATATTATAATTAAGAAACTAGCGTCGTTAGAAGCTATTTAAGAAATAAATTTTTATAGAGATTTAATTACTTTATCTATTTTTAAGACTAAACTTACTTTTTATATAGTATTTATATTAATAATTTAAAAGAAGCTATTATTATATTTCTCTCTATTTATTAATTCTTATAATCTAGTTAATAGTTAATTAATTATCTATTTTACTTCTATTTCGAAAACTCTATAACGAGCGTATTCTTAATATATTACTTAGCTCTATAACTAGCGGGCCTTAACGAAGATATTCTCTACTATATTATATCTCCTTTCTATCTATATAGTTCGATAGCCTTATTATCCTCGTTCTATCTCACTTATACTAATATTACATCTATACTAGTTCTAACATTATAATAAGACTCCTTTATACCCCTCCCCTCCGGCGAAGAAAATTGACGGGTATTTTCACTTTCTGCTCGGAGCAAGCGACCGAGCCTGATAAAGAAAACGCTAGGTATTTCTATCATGCAGGAGCCTCACCACACATTTAAATCATTAGATCCTACATCATTCGAAAGAACCTACATTAAATAACCTACACCATCAACGGTAGCCCAGTCCATCAAAAAACGAGTCCCCTACATCGAATACAAGAAATCCTTCTCCGCTCCGTTCCCCGCAAAAAGTCTATCACCGGCTAACACAACCCCGGCGGACTTCCTACCATTCGAAAGGATACTATTTAGAGTACTCATAGTCTTTATGGCGACTTAATTGATCAAGAAACGGAAGAAACAACACTATTTCGAGCGTCACAGTTAAATTTCGACTCTCAACACAGAGATCTGCCAAATTTCTCAACTCGCAGACGCCTTCACAGTACCAGAATTTCAGAGATCTCTCCGCTCCACTCCGTTCTTACCTACATTCAACAAATCATGAATTCTTCAAATCCACCTACATCAACACCAAGATACCTCCCTCCACATCGCCGATCACCTACATACCGTGGCGAACCCTACCTTACATACGACGACCTACATAGAAGATACTCACCTCCCAACTCGCCGTCACTCTATATGCTATAGGTGCAGCGTTCTCTATCTGCTAAGGACCTTTACCAGCGATATCATAAAACATCAAGTTATTCGGAGGAGATACAGGCCCAAAACCCGGCTGGTATCTCAGCTTCTTCTCCTTTGTAGGAGATACTAGGACAGCAAGAAGAGATACAAGGCCAAAACTCGGCTGGCATCTCTGCCTTTCCACCCCCCTCCCCACCTCCACCTATATTACGAGATTTCGAAGCACTTAGAGAAAATCGAAATCGACCGATCTCATCACAAATCAGACAGCCACTCAGTCCGAGACTACTAGATTCACCTATCTTCATAGACACTAATTTAGTACCATTTGATAATTAGAAAATAAGAATCTAAGATAAGCTTATCTATAATAGCGATCATTTCCTTATTAATACTTTCAAAATTATCTACGTTATAGCGAGACTTAGAGGGGAGGCTAGTTACTATATATCTATTAGACGACGATATCGCTTATATTCTATAATCGATATTCTTTTAAATTATCTAAGTGATATATATAAAGTATTATTATTTATTATTTAATAGACGTATTAGCGTATTTATAGTAGAATAAGTTAAGAAAGTTAATTCTTTCTTAAATTCTATAAAGACTTTATAATATACGTCGAATATAAAAGTAATTTCAAAGATACTAATAATATTATACGTAATTTACGAGAGAAATTAGAGCTTCGTTTATATAACGCACTTACTATATATAAAAAGAATTAGATTATATCTTAGCTAAAGAAGTATATTATAAGAAAATAGCTTAATTATTAATAATTTATAGAGGAACTAGTCGAAAAGAAAGTAAAGAGATTTATAGAATAATATATAAAAGTAAAGATCGAGGTCGATATTAAAAAAGAAAAATACTTAATTATAATTCGTCTTAACGTAAGTAATAATAAGAATTTAGATATCGATAAGATATATAAACGTAAGTATAAAAATTAGACTAATATATAGAAGTATAATAAATACTTTCGCTCTAATATAAATATCGACGAAGTATTTAAACTTAATTATTAAGGCTATCTATAATTAAAGACGTAGTACTCGTAAATGTAATCGAAATCAGACTCGGAAATACCTCGAATATAGTATTTTTAAACGAATTAAAATTATTCGATATTAGAATAACCTTATTTTTTTATATTCGTAAATCGATTTCTTAGACTTATATTACTTAATAATAGTCTTATATTAAACTTATTAAGCGGGCTTCCCCTATTATTATATACTAAAGATTCTTCGAAGCTATAGTACGTTATCTATAGATCTTACTATCGTCGTCGATAGCCTCGATCGATATTAGCTATATAACATTTTATAGAGAAACTTATATTAAAGTTATTTAATATTAGATTTAAAGTCTTAGCGTCTATAACTTAGTTCGACTCGAGAGTAATTAACTAATTAGATTATATTATTTTATAAATCTCCTTACGATTATAAAAATGAGTATTAAAATGGCTATCCGATATCAGACTCGGTTTTCGATCGCTATTTATTTAATTCTTTATAAATCTTCGTTAAATTAAGGGCCCTTAACGCTATAATATAGTACTATCGACGATACGCTAGCGAAATCTTCTATTACTATCGTCGCCGCCGTCGAAGAAACTTACTAATTTAATCTAATATAGTATATTAGAAGTTCTTATTTTTTGATTATAATTTTAGTAAGTAACTAGATTATAATATATACGTGATTTTTTCGAAAAAATCGTAGTAAGAAAGCTAAAGAAGGGCTTAAAGATTATTATTAATACGTAGATAAGATATAGTCTATATCTTTAAAATCTCTAATAAATCTTCTTTAATTAAGGCCTATAGAAACTATAAATATTTAAAGATATAAGATAAGTAATAGATCTATATCTTCGATCTATTAGCTATGAAAGTTATAACTATTTAAGAGAAGAAAGTACTATTACGAGCGTATTCTTAATATACTACTTAGCCCTATAACTAGCGAGCCTTAACGAAGATATCTTCTATTATATTATATCTTCTTTCTATCTATATAGTTCGATAGTCTTATTATTCTTATTCTATCTTATTTATATTAATATCGCATCTATACTAGTTCTAATAAACTCTATAGATAATTACTAAGCTTACTCGCATTTATAAATTAACGCTAGCGATAAAAAGTCTTCTTTTAAGCGTATTTAATTTATACATACTACGAAATATAGAAAGATTAAAAGATAATTACGAGTTTAATATATTAAATACTTTTAAATAAGATTAAAGCGATATTAATATAGCTTCTATAGAGATAACGTATTCTAAATAGATTAAATAGTCTATTAAAGATATCTAAGTAGACGAAGTAAATTTCTTATATAGCTTATCTTTTATTATTACTTAATAAGTCTATAACCCTTTTATTAGCGAGAGAAAAGAAAAGATAAAAGAATAATATATATTAATCTCTTTAGATATTTATTTCGATAGCGTTTTAATAGACTTAATATATATAACATTTAAAGAGATAAAGTTATTAAGGTTATCGACTAATAATATTACGAATATACTATCTTTTCTTTAACTAGCGAATAGATAATAGCGATGAAGATATTCTATAATAAAAATATTTGTAATTAAATCGTATCGTAGTAAATATCGAGGTTTAACCGGAGTGGCAAATATCGCGTTACATCCTTTTTCCTCAGACGTCTTCTCAAACTCCATATAGCTAGCCCCCGATTTTAGCGAAAGGTTCAAGTTTAGTTTAAAGGAGACTGGAGGAGACGAAAATTTTGCGCTAAAGGATAACTTACCAAATCATACCTCAGATAAATAGCATCCTACCAATTCATACAGGAAGGGGTATGAATCTGTAAGTAGGTATGATTCGGTAAGGATTCGTTTATTTGGGGTATGAATTAGTAAATTGCCCCTTGTTGCATTATTGAAAGACATTGGCAGTCCTTGACATGTGCGACGACTTCTGGAACCCGCGTGGGTATCAAACTATCAATCGTTCTATACTCGCTTATATTCACTTCAACGGAAGGAGAAAAAATACAGGATAAGTAACGTTAAATTCGATAACCTTATCCACACTTCGCAGCGCCTCCAACGCTCGCAACGGGGGCCGGCTTGACTAGTGCCGATGGTGCTACTGCTTGAAAGCTTCGTGACGCTGCTAGAACCCGGCGAGGGTCCCTCAGTGGTGCAGCTGGTGCCCGAGCCGACGCCGGAGCCGACGTCACTATCAATAGAGCCAGGTCATTGCAAATACACGGGCTTATACCAGGCAAACCACTCGAGTCGGAGGAGGATGCGACACCGCTCGAAGTAGCGAAAGATGCATTCGCTGTGATCGTTCCCTCTAGGGAGGTCTCCAGCCCGCGGGTGCTTGCATCATCACGCCGTGGTCGGCTCTACCTAGATGCGGATCGAGCCACCAGCCGAGACTCTCGTACCGGGCAAGAAGTCCCAGGTACGCGTATGTATCCGCGTTGGTCAGCCTCTTGAAAGTGCTCAACTGCATGATCTTTGCCCAGCCGTAGGCTGTCGAGCCATCTCGGAGTATCTCATCGTCGAGCTCCAAATCGATCCAATGCGTGCTTTCGTGGTACAAGCCCGCCGATACAATCATTCCATATTGTGGTCTGTATAGAGCTAAGGGAGACTGGCGACGGGGGCGATTAAGAGTGGCGGTCAAGGAGGATGCAATCGTCGGGTAATAAGGGGTATCTTCGACAAGTACGCAGTCACAGATCTAGATTTACACTGTTAGAAGTCCCACCGTTTGCTTGGGTCAGATGGCTTACAGTTATTGTTGACCGCGTCGGCTGTAGTATCCCTACGGGAGGTAACCGGTTACCGTACAGGAAGGGTGTGATGGGCTGGTTATACGTTTCCAGCTAAGTTTCCCGCCAAGTTTCCAGCTCCGTTGGTTCAGCCTTACAGCCTAACGTTATAGGGCTTCTCGTAATGAAGTTGACTTGGTCGAACCATTCTTGATTTATTCCAAGCGTTCTCCCACTGTTTGGATTAGGATCGCCCCGTATGTCTGGGCGCAACTGCCATCTTTCATTCGAATAGGGCGTTGGGTTCATTGCGTCGTCATCGCAATAGAAAATCAGATTGGCCTTGGTGTCTGGATCCGCGTGAGGAGTTAGGGATGCAAGACTTGTGGTTACAACTATAGATTATAAGTACGGACTTGTGACAAACTGGATTTGGCCCTCGGTGTGCACGATGTCTCACTTACATTCGACAAAATCGTATGCTGTGATTGGCTCCTCAACTAACTGGAGGTCGTACAGTGTGTTGCTATTTGGGTCCGTGTTAAAAAGAACCTGGAAGGCGTGTTGAAAGTGTGGATCTGCCCCTCCCAGACTGATCCGATGCGAAGTAACTTGGACCGTTTGGAACCAATCGTTGACTATGTCCTGAACCTGAGGATAGCGGGTACAGGTGCCGTCTATGGCATAAGTGGGATTGTCGACCCTTTTGAAAAGGGCCTTTGTAGAATTTGCGCTTGGAACATCATTTTCTGGTACGCTCGAGACTGATTGACAGAAGCACAGGGCGAGGAAGACAATTAGCAGATACATAGTAGTATCTCAAATTATGTAGGACGATAAAAGGAAGTCGTCGCGCACTGGGGATCAGCGCAGCCTATTGACAATTCTTAGCCGTGATTGCAGACTTGAGGACAAGGTCCGACGTGGAGGCTCCGGTTGCTATGTATGGCATCCGTAGTAATTAATGGCATTCGTGATCCTGTTTCCAATACCCATCCACGAGTTTCATGACCCACGACGGGACTGCTGGTACGCCCCACGGACTAATACACATCATACTTTACAGAAGATATGCCAAATCCTGGTACAAAGATGCTACCTACGGTACTTGAACAACACGGCGAAGATTATTATTGTGTGAATCCAACACTTTTCCGAACTTCGCACTCAGATACGGGAACATTAAAGTATGAAAAGGTGGGAAGTAGGTAAGTTTGAAAACTTATTTTGTTTGTTCACGAGCGTTTCAAAAAACATGAAACAATGGTACTGTTTGTATGAAAAGGAAATGTGCACCTCGTGTTGTTCGAAAAGGTCGATAGTTTGGCATTTCCCTCCGAGGCATTTTTCGTAACGAGACTAAAAGTATGTATTTTAGTAGGATAGAAAGAGGGAAAGAGGGAAAGAGGGACGAATTAGTCGTCGTCCAGCTGTTCCCAGCTTCCCAGCATAATTCAATACCTATTATTATTGAGTACCTATGCATGTGTTTCGTAGAGTATGTAAAGTACCTAGTTGGTGGCTATTTAGAAGTACTACTACGGAGTAAATACCCGAGATACCTTACTAATAATAAGTAAGGCAGAACGCCACTCTACTATGTGTGCAGAGAATTCAGACGCTAGGCCCAATCAGGAAACACGCTAATAGGCCGAGGGGTTACCTAGGTACTTTAGGTACCTACCTAAGCGACAACTCTCCAATAGAATGTATTCCAACATCGCTGCACAATAATAATAGACAATCGCATTTCACAATCGCATTTTGTCATATTCACGGCCAAGGTCCGACCGAAATTGCCGAGGTGTTCCCGTGTCGTCGTCATGTCCGCATCTGATAGACTAGTTCCTGATGGGTTCAGGGGGTTACAGCATCTAGAAACTCATTTCCTGAGCTCCACATCAAAGGTTACAGGCATGTAGCCAACTTTGCACGGCTCGTGTCTGTGTACCATCTGGTTGTATATCTCCTTTCCCCGAAGTTTCCCTAAAAAGCTTATGAGGTAAGTTACCTATGGACGCCTCGTGAGGCTCAAAATCAAACCGGGGCTCGAGCATTTCCCTATTAGAAGCGGCCATCAGGTTGTATATCTCATTTCCCCGAAGTTTCTTTAAAAAGCTTATGAGGTAAGTTACCTATGGACGCCTCGTGAGGCTCAAAATCAAACCAGGGCTCGAGCATTTCCCTATTAGAAGCGGTCATCTGGTTGTATATCTCATTTCCCCGAAGTTTCCCTAAAAAGCTTATGAGGTAAGTTACCTATGGACGCCTCGTGAGGCTCAAAATCAAACCGGGGCTCGAGCATTTCCCTATTAGAAGCGGCCATCAAGAGCCTTCCTTGGGTTTATGTAAATCCGGATCTTTGCTACCTCATCGATGACTGTGACATCAATCTTGCAGCATATTATTTGCCCGAGTCAACCCTACGGCATCGAGAGTGTAAAAGTGAGCTGCAACATTTGGCGTACCTTCTGATATAGATCTTTGACTCACCTGGGCAAAGATGGCGACAGCAACCCGCTTTCACGTGGGTCACGCACTGTTGATAGCGCTGTGCTGTGCTTGCAAATTGTCACTGCAGCAGACGCCCACGAGTACAAGCATGCCTAATGTGCCTCGTGGCGACCTCCCCACAGTCACGATTGCAACGCCGAGTGCTTGGATCAATATCTCGGTGCGTAGTCCATCTGGTCTGATCCGGTCTAATCCGGTGGTTGACACTCACCAGGCAAGCATACCCACCAACCTCGGTACTGATAAGGTCGTCGTAACGTCAGCTTCCGTGGGCGGGCCTCCACAAATATACCTCGGCGCCAGCATAGCGGCCAGTGCCCACGCGGCCGTGCAAAGCAATTGCTCTCAAGCCAATTCGTCCGAGTGCCAATCAAGTGTAGAAAAGGCCGTCAGAACTGATAATGCCCTTGCGGCAAGAGTCGCGCCTTTGGCCATTGCTGTCCTTGCTCTGGCAGCGCTGATCTCGGCAGTTCTGTCGTACAACAGACTAGAAGACGTAAATGCGCAACCGCAGCTTATCGATCTCCAGCCAGAAGGTTACTCGCAGATGATCGCGGCTCAAGCATCTAGCTCCGTGGTATTTGTCACAGCAAGTGATGACCCAAGTCCGGTCACATTCTCCTTGACCACGTCGTTAGATGGGGTTACGAGTGCTACACCCTCAACGTCAAACTTGATTACGAGTGCTACAGCTACAGGGTAACAGTCCTTCTTACCGGTACGGAGATACTCTTTGCGGGCTTTATGCTGACTATGCACTAGTTCAGTGGTAATTTCCACTGCTACGACGGACGGCCCAGGATATTTTTCGGGCGATTCCTTCATAGTGGTACCCACCGTTGACGTCGCACCAATGAAGGCCATCTTGACAGCGACACAAAGCGGTGCTACTTGCTTGGCCGTTCATAAAACGGTTGAGCATCGCAGATCGGTCGATTCGTTGATTAGCTGGGACAGCGCGGTTGGTGATGCCGTGAAGATGCTTCCAGAGGTGGCTCCTGGTGGGGAGCTCCAGTTGCTACGTACTGCTCAAAGCCTCCAACTGGGGCCGTTTGTTCCAGCGCTGCTACAAGCAGCACAGCAGGTAGTGGCTGCCGGGCGACTAATAACCAGCTTGCTTCTGAGTGGCACGGGCTTGATCGCTGTCGCAACGATTGTACTAATCATTGCAGCTGTGGTTCAGAACTGCTTGGTAGCGGACGGAAACGCCTTCTTGATACCACAAGAGGCCTTTTCGACTACCCAAACATCTTCCCAGTTGGCCTCATCCGGAGCTAGCTGTCCTCCTGCAACATTACAACCAGACTGCGTGAAGTAAGTCTTACTTGTTGCGAAAACCCAGTGGTGTCCTGACAGTGGTGTAGTTGTGGTGGCAATGCTGGTTCCTCCAGTTGCTCGGGCATACAGTCAAGGTCTTATCTCTGGCAAGATTGTCCCTGCTATGATGTTTCGGTGTTTAAATACCCCCCCGACTATCAGAATGTACTTCCGGCACCAGCGTAAGTGCAGCATGTCCTTCAGAACCAACACCGAAGATATTGGTGTCTGGGTCGCTTTTGTCTCCACGTCTCTAACAAGCCGCTTAGTGAACCATCGGCGACAGGGCAGGCTGGTTCCGTTCAACTCGTCTGCGAAACTACCACTGGCAGCCCTACGACTGAAGATGTCACCCAAGTCATCGAAAATCTGAAAGACCTGGGTTACAGCAAAGAGTGCGTCCAACACAATCCAGTTGGCAGTGAGTGCACTACCATGATCTCCTACGGCTCGGCGAGCCTCTCCGTCTGTGGACCTTTTGCAATAACGACGTGGTGTTTGCAGGCTGCAGTATGGGCTGAGGACATCCAAGATGAATGTCTCAATGGTGGGAGGGTCGGCGGGCGACGCACTACAATTGGCGCTGGCACGATTGAGGTGATCCATTCCTCCTAAGATGGATCTGGAAGTGTGCGGGGAGGTCGAGTAGTCTAGTTCAAGTTGGAAGTCATGATGTTAATCGTATAATAAACGCTGGATCATGCTTCCATGCATTGCATTGAAACGTTAATGGAGTTATCGAGGGATGTTTCGTCGTAAAGCGGACGTCTGGTTTCAACGTGAACGACTGTAGGTAGATGATTGCAATGATGTACAAAATGCAAGTTCGACAGATTCTTTGAAGATACTGTGGTTGACTCCAACTTTTCCATACCGTCAACTCGACGAATACTTCATGGACTTTGTAGATGATTCTAAGCTGTCGATGGGGTGGTTGAGAGAAAGCGTTGAGGCATGCCGGAATTGGGTCCATATGGACTGTTCCATATGTGTAGGGAATAGATGTTGACAGAAATTTTCTCACTCTTTTCCATTACCTCTTTTGGTCATTGGTCCACTTACTAGAATAGATATCCTATTGGAAGTGCCGAACAAGCTAGAATTGAGATTCCCCTGAAGGTCCAAGCTCTCGTGTATGTACTCATGATTGTCATTCATCGCCAAGACATGATAGCCACAAAGACAGTAAAAGGCTGGGAACACCTGGGCAGTTCACCGCGATCGTCTAGAGCGCACATCCATCTTCAATCCTCATAGCTCAGGCGAAATTATTCTGATATCAGTGTCTCTGACTTTAGTCTCTTTCATAGTAAAATCACCTGTGTCAACTCGATTGCCCCACTCATAATTGTCCTGAGCACTGGCACAACTCCATACCTTCCCTTTTCCGACATATCATAATCTATGGCCTGGCTCTGGCGAAGCTAGTGACGTGCTTGTCGAGATCGTACACGCTGTACCACTTCCGCAAGAAAGCGGTTCCGAAAATGGCGACAGGGCCGCCAGGGCGTAAAATCCCCACCTACCAAGGCGCTCATGCAAGAAGAATCTGTCGAATGGTAAAGGAATGTCCAGAAGGAGTAATATTTGGTGTGCTGACCAACATGAGATACTCATCCCGTGAGTATATATCAGCACCAATCAGTTTTACATGGCTGAGTGATCGAGCAGGCTGCATCTGAATTGCAAGCTCTTTACTCCGTAAGAGCAGATTAAATAAGGTCTTCTGATTCCTTTGGTCTCCTCAATGGGGAAGTTTTGACGGAGAGTTCAGATACGTATCGAGACGGGTCCAAATGAAGAGGGTCTATGATTGTTAGATCGTCCTCTCGGATTCCTGCCCTCCACGTGAATAAAAGTGATACAGATTTACAAAACTGTTGTCAAATATGGCGATGTCAACGTAGATGCAGGGACTTGCAAACAGATGTTTTCAAATTCAAGGTCCACGTAGAGTATTTGTCCTTGGCGCCACCAAAAAGAAGCAAGACAGGACAGGCCTTGAAAGCTAGTGTCATCACTCAGTAGTAATAGATACCATCCTTGCCAAACTTATCTTCCTCTTCCAACTTCTTTACCAACTCTTTTCCCCTTCCTATCACAATTTTCGCATACTCTGGCCCAGGTTCTAAGCCAATAGGCTTTTCTTTATCGAAGAAAATCCACGGCACATTAAGGTGGCCCTTGCACGCTTCTCTCATCGCTTTAGCGTCCTCCTCGCCGTAGGCGCCACCCATCATGATGGCCACTGGCTTCTTGCTATAGCTGTGAGTACCGAGGTCCGCAGCGTCAGGATCGCTAGATGACGGCTTTTCACCGCGCAGAAGAGTTGGGATTTCAGCTGCTCCGGTCGCGGGGGAGAGGATGGCGTGGATTGCTGTTCGCAGGTCAGATCGGGCTGGCTCTGGTGATTTGGGTGGAAGATATTGAGCTGACGGTCGAATTCCGGCTTTGAAAACTCCATGACTACGCGCATGACGGCTGATGATTGGCCGCAAATGACTATGGGCCAAGGGGGTGACATCTCAGATTCTATGGTGATGATTGGAAAGGTGAATGAATGAGTCTACGACGGCGATATACGAAAGGTGGCAAGTACAGCAGTTGTCTATCGAGCCAGCGTAAGATCTTAACTTATAAGTAGAATGGAAGAGTCCAGTCAGGTAAGTACCATATGAAATCGCTATTTTTAGTCGATTTTTTATTTACTTTACTTATCGCCGTCGGTCTACCTTAAAGCCGAAGCGGATATTTCTTCGCGATAATGATATAGTATATTTCTTTCTCTAATTATATATATTTATCTATTAATTAGAATAGCTTTTAATATAATATCGAAGTCTAAGATACTTCTACTTAAAGATATTAAATAGTAGAATTTCATATCTTACTAATTAGCGCTTGTCTACTATATTTAATAATCGTCGAGAGACGAGAACTAATCATAGACTTCTTTAGTTAATTCGTTAAAAAATTATTCGATTCCCTCTTCTTAATCGCAGAGCTTATCACTTCGAAATTCGATAATTCGTTAAACTTTCTAAAAGAATATCGTAGCGATACTTTTAACGATATAAGAGCGGCTTATAGAATATTTAATAGCGTTAAGATTATAGAAAAAATTAAAGATAAGATATATAAGAAGTTAGAAAAAATAAGCTTAAGATTCTTAGCGTATAATAATAGATAGAAGGTTAATAATATTATAAAGACTTTATTATTCTATCTATATTAATATAATCTTTTATTATAAGCGCGAAATATAACTAATATAATATTCTAAACTATATTAAAGTCGAGATTTATATATTAAATATTCTTATAGTCGTAGACGCCGCTATAGTAAATATCGCTCTCTTTCTTATACTTAATACTTTTTAAATATTCGTCTCTTCTATTATAAATCTACGTAAAAGCGAATTTCGCGATAAGACTTCGTTATCTTTAGAGTATAATTTAGAGAATAAAATAATAGATATTATAAATATAAGAGAAATAGAAAAGAATTTTGAAAAGAAGATAAAAGTATTAGAAATAAAAGTTTAATATTAATATATATAAAAGAATAAGATAGAGTTAAGTTAGAAAATCTTAAATTTATATATATAGCTAATTATAAATTTAAAATTACTACGCTCTTTAATTAAATCGACTAAGTTACTATAAATAAATAAATAAATATTTATAATTATTAAAATCTCTTATTCTATTTCTAACCCTTTAATAACTTTATTATTAATATATATAATAGAATAAGATAGAGCTAAGTTATAAATCTTAAATTTATATATATAATTAATTATAAATTCGAGTTCGCTACGCTCTTTAATTAGATCGACTAAGTTAGCTTAATAATTCTTTTATATCTTCTTATTAAAAAAATAGATATATATTATTTATATATAGAATAACTTTTTTATTTTCTATTAAAATTTTATATTTTTATCTATAAATTATAGAATAAAACTTACGCTTTTAGATAAAAAAAGAATTTTTAAATTTAGTCTTATAATTATTAAAGCGTAAGGAATTCAAATATCGCTTATTAAAGTTCGCTTATCAAGTTTATCGATAGCTCTAATAAAAAAATAGATGTATATTATTTAATTTTAGAATAACTTTTTTATTTTCTATTTTAATTTTAAGATTTTTTTTAAATTATAGTCTATAGCTTACGCTTTTTAAAGATAAAAAAAATTCGAAATTTAATCTTATAATTCTTTAAAGATATAGAATTTAAAAATCGCTTATTAAAAATCGCTTATTAAATTTACTCGATAGTTCTAATTAAATAAAATAATTATAAATTTAATTTATAGATCTTTACTCGTTATAATAAGAATAAGCTAAGCGAGAAAATAAGCGAAGAAGCGAAGTATATAGAATTTAAGAAGCTTCTAGAGTCTAGTAATATAATAAGTCTAAATATATCTTTAAATAAAAGTCTCGTATTTACTAGAAGAGACGTTTTTTTCTATCTAAATTCTATTATTTTCTCTCTAAAATAATTTATCCTTCTCTTCTAATTAATATTTACTTATTTTAGAAATTAATTTATTATATAATACGAGTAAAGGTCTATAATATAAATTTATAACCGTTTTTTTAACTAGAACTGTCGAATAAATTCAATAAGCGATCTTTAATAAGCGATCTTTAGTAAGTAATCTTTAGTAAGCGATATTTAAATACCTTATCTTTTAATAATTATAAGATTAAATTTCGAAATTCTTAAAGCGTTTAAAAGCGTAATATACGCTTTATAATTTAAAAAAATAATCTTAAAATTTTAATAGAAAATAGTAAAGTTATTAAAGGGTTAAAAGTAGAGTAAGAGATTTTAATAATTATAAACGCTAATTTATTTATTCGCGATAACTTAGTCGATCTAATTAAAGAGCGTAGTAACTCTAAATTTATAATTAACTATATATATAAATTTAAGATTTTCTAACTTAATTCTATCTTATTCTTTTATATATACTAATTAATATTATAATTCTCGAAGATAAAAGATAATATTATAATAATTAATACTACTCGCGATATCGTTATTAAAAAAGTTACTCTTATTAAAGCTCTTAGTAATAGTAAAGTCTTCTTCGTTAGCTTAAATATATATAAAGAAAAGCTAGAGATATATTAAGAATTAATAGTAAACTTATATATATTACTATTATCTTATATAAGAATAAAAATAATTAGTATTATTTTAGAATTACGTTAAATATATAAATATAAGTAAAGGCCTATAAATTAAATTTATAAAGTTGAATTTTTCTAAAAGATTAAATCGAACTCTAAGTCCGCTTACTATACGTTTTTAATCTATATATAAATATATATATATAAAGAGAGACGCGCTAAGATCTAATTAGAAAGATATATCGAGTATAGAGAAAGATTGTAATAATTCTATAATAGTAAGATAGTATCAGAAAAAATATTAAAAAGAAATAGAGATAATATATTAATTAGTAGTATAAATCTTATAATATCTTCTATCGTAGTAAAATCTTTTAAATAATAAAATAGCTATAGATATCGAACGATTTTAATTTATTTAAATATATATCGTTTGATATTTCTTCTATAGAGATTTAATTAACTAAAATAGAGATAATATATTAATAAGTAATATGAATTTTATAATATCTTCTATCGTAGTAAAATCTTTCGAATAATGAAATAGCTATAAACATCGAACGATTTTAATACATTTAAATATATATCGTTTGATATTTCTTCTATAGAGACTTAATTAACTATAATTATCGTAGTAGATTCTTCTCTTATAATATTATTATTAGTATATATATTATCTTAATATAGTAGAAATAATAAACTAAGTTATAATAATATTCTTTATTTACTAAGTAATAATTTAATATAAAATCGTAAAGAGTATATAATATAAAATCTTAGAGAGTTAAGTCGTATTCTTAACGATAATAGTCTTATTATCGCTTAATTTCTTTATACTATTCTTCGTAGTATTCTCCGTAATATTCTTCGCAATATTCTTCGTATTTACTTACTATAGTAACTTCTCTTATATTAATTAAATAAATTAATATAAGATCGTAGAGAGTAGATCTATTATATTATTACTACTATTAACTATATTCGTAATATTCTTTATAATATTCTCCGTATTCGTTTATTATAGTTTCTTCTTTTATTTAATTAAGTTCTTTAATTAAATAGCTAACTAAGTAACTAATTAAGTAAATGACTAAGTAACTAGCTAACGATTTAACTAAGTAAATTACTAAGCTAATAGAGTAAATAGTATTAACTAAGCGGCTAGTCGAGTATCGCTAGCTTAAGAGTATATAGAGAAAGATAATAGTCGTAAATTTATTCGAGCTCTTTTTAGTCTTCTAACGCGTTTATAAGTAATAGTAGATAGCTATTAAACTCTCTTATAGTCTCGATTATTAATAGTAGCGAAATTATCGAGAAATAGTTTAAAGGCGTTAATAGAGACTTAAAGAGATAAGTAAAAGAGATATATATATCTAAATCGAACGCGTTTAATATAACTATAATATTTAAATATTAGTTTAACTTATCTATCGCTAACTTAAGAGAAGTATATAGAGGAGAACGTATTTATTCGAGCTCTTTTTAAGAGTCTTTTAACGCGTTTATAAGTAGTAGTAAATAGCTATTAAGCTCGCTTACGGCCTCGATTATTAATAATAATAAATTCGTTAAGAGATAGCTTAAAGATATTAATAGAGGCTTTAAGAGATAAATAAAAGAAGTATATATATTTAAATTAAACGCGTTTAATATAATTATAATATTTAAATATTAATTTAATTTATTTATCGCTAGCTTAAAAAAAGTATATAAAAAAGAATATATTCGTTTAAGCTCTTTTTAAGAGTTTTTTAACGCGTTTATAAGTAATAATAGATAGCTATTAAGCTCGCTTACGGTCTCGACTACTAGTAATAGCGAATTTATCGAAAAGTAATTTAAGAGCGTTAGTAAAGACTCTAAGAGATAAGTAAAGAGATATATATATCTTAAATATTAAGTAACCTTTAAGCGAGAGATATCGAAGACGATTATATTTATATTAATAAAATTAATAGAATTAATAGAATAGTAAAAGAATAATAATTATATAAATAAATAAAAGAATTATTATTTAATTTCGAACGCGTTTAATATAACTACTATAACTATTATATTTAAATATCTATTTAATCTACTAATAGTAGATTAAACTTTATTATTTTTATAGCGTTATTAGACGGGCGAAGGGGTTAGAGTTATAGCGACGAATACGTAAAACTTAAAGAAAAAAAAAAAAAAAAATTCTTTTAGATTTTTATTTTATTATTTTACGTCTTTTAATAATAATATTAAGATTTAAAATTATAAAAGCGAATACGCTAAATTTAATAGCGTTCTTAATTTTTAATTATCTAGTTTACTTTCTTCTTTATATATTACTTTATT